CGCAGTCAAGGTGTTGGCTGTTTGACATCACCCATGCTGTGTTTCACCTTTGATTGCATGTTTCTCGCGCAACTGCGTTTGTGCGGTGAGAGTCGCGTCGCGGAATGTCTTGAGTCAGCACGGTAACGCAGGTCATGCTATCATTATTTATAGTGCAGCTTTGAGATCACGCTAGATTAGGCGATTTTACAATGCTGGTTGAGGAGCTTTCTAATCTCTGCGGCATTGACGGATGCATATTTGTGCACGTGACAGGTACATCTGAAATTTCTCATATTTTTTGCCAATTTCTTCATTTTGTGGTATTTAGGGTTTATCGGAGGTAACAAGGCATTCGAAGGAGCTCTAGCTATGGCAAAGAAGGCGCTCGAAATTGGAGATGCGGAGATTTGTGTTAACGTTGCATTTAAGTGATGGAGTGCAAGAGCATCGTGCTTTTGCTGGCCCAACAACTTTGGAAGTGTCAGAATGAGAATTTTTTCTTCTGGATGATATCCCGAGTGATTTGGATACAGGGATCGGTTCATAATATTTGATTGAGTTGATTGTTTGGAGTCAAGATAATGATAAATGTTTCAGCTAGCAGCAAGATCTGAAAATGGACAGGAGATAAAGAAAATGAAACTGGACAATGAACAAGCAGTGAGCAGTACTGAACAAGCAGTAAGCAGTACCGTGGAACCTGCTCATTAGGATAGTTTCTGATAGAGAACAGAAATCTTTCAACTCCTCCCTTGTCTTTACCTCATCACAGCTGCATTCATTTTTCTTCCCACCGTCGTGGTATCTGTATAGTATTTCTTGTTTACTAAGTATCGGTCATGCCGTAGGACGCTCTCGTAGTCGAAATATTGTTCAAGTTGCTCTTGCTATATTCTCTAACTGTGATTCTCTGTAAAATATGTTGATTTCGTTTATCACGTCGTATAACTAAATACTTGTCGAGTTCTAATTCAAACTGTGTCTACCAAAAACTTCCGCCCAAATTCTTGATTATGCTAATTTTTTCTTCGATCATGAGTAAACTATTAATCGGGTGTTTGCAAACTTGGGTCGCGCTGAACTCCTACCCGGGGGGGGGGGTCCTATTCGGCTAATTTGGGTGGGGTTTAGAGACAAAATTGGGGTTTGGAGCTTAAAGGCAGCGTCCAGGCAAGTCTGGACCTATGGGGATTTTACATGGAAAGTACTTTTGGGGCCCTAACTAACCCACTACCCAACCTGCAGCTCAGGTAGTGCTGTAACGCCTGAGATATTCTGCTCGAAACTGGACCCCGCGACCGTGTTTCGCATGGATTCATGGCGCAAAGCGTGGATCCTGGCGCGAAACTGCCATGAATCCATGCGAATACGTTCGCGGGGGTCTGTTTCGAGGGGAATATCTCCGCCATTAGAGCACTACCTGAGCTGCTGCTTCGGCAGTGCCTTAGTTAGGGCCCCAAAAGTACTTTCCATGTAAAAGCCCCATAGGTCCAGATCTGCCTGGAAGCTGCCTTTAATTAGGGCTAATTACAGTATGCCGCGGCAGACTTGCGGAACACAAAATCGGGGGGCTCCGGCGCACAAAATCGGGGGGCTCCGGAGCAGAAATTGGGAGGTATCCGGAGCAGAAAATGGGAGGTATCCGGAGCAGAAATGGGAGGTCTCCGCCGGAGAAATGGGAGGGCTCCGCCGGACAAATGGGAGACCCACCGCTGGGGAAACGCCGCGACCCTGCCATTTCTCCGGCGGAGGGGTCTTATCCGCTGCCTGAGTAGGTGCAGAATTTCAGCCCAAGCTTCGGCGTGAAGCGAGTTGAAGCGAAAATGCCATTTCAGGTAGGAACTGGCAGCAATGGCATGTGCCAATGAGAAATCGATCGATTGCTGCAGCGAGGGTTCTACCAATTGACCGAACAATAGAACTAGGAAATCCTTTAGATCACTTATAATGAGAGAAAGAGCGATAGAAATTCACACAGCGTTTTCTACACTACTTTTCTTACCATGCGCCAAAAATGATCCAAAAATATGATATTATCAGTGATAAATGATAAAATGCTTATATCAGTGATAAGGATAAATAAAAACTGCCCATTTTTTCGCGATAGTTTTCGATAATGAGAACTTCGTACCAGAACCTCCTATTCGCGATTTACACGGTGATAGATGTTCACAAAAGCCTTAACATAGAACAACAAGGTATCACCATATGTATACCGTGTCACTATGGATTACGGACATATTGTATACCAGAAGATTCGTCTCATCAAGCTGAAGCCAAATCTTCACGCAGATTACAAATAAATCTGTTTTAAAAGAAGTTATAGCTAAATCCCGCTTATCCCGCAAATCCCGCGAATCCCGCAAATCCCGCGAAGTCGCGAATCCCGCGAATCCCGCGGATCCCGACAATCCCGCGAATCCCGACAATCCCGCAATTTTGGACAAATTCTACCGCTGCAACTGTACTGTAAGAATTAAATAATCTCATCACAGCATCGATTGCAGTTGGTGTAGCAAAGTTCGTCCGAAATAATTGTTAACTTGCAAAACACTGCAGCTTAAAAGACATTGTTTAATGTCCATTCTTCCAAACATGTGAACCGACGAAAGCGTGTCAAGCTGCTGGCGCTTTTCAGTTAGCGCGAAAAGTGTTGACGAGAGATCAGAAGTGGGAATAGAGAGAGACTAGAAAAGTGCATTGCTGATGTCTTGGGTTAGCGAATCCAACGGAGCACTTGTGAATACCGATCTTGGACAATGGGTTTTGCGAACCCATAGAGCCCACTGGGTCCACCCCATGGACCCCACTGGGTTGCTTACCCAAGGGTAGCGGAACCCACTGAGTTCGTTGATAAATTAAGGCCACTCGTAAACAGCTGTATATACAGCTGACTAAGGTTACCTATATAAAATTGATTACAAGTTATCAGATGCTGGGGTGATGCACATGAGAATCTAAGTTGATAAAAGTTGTAGATTAAACAGATTACAACAACCGCCCACGCAGTGCATAATGATTTAGACATAAAATATGTCGCTTTCTGACTTTGGTAAAAAGAACTCGAAAGCGCGCAACGATAGCCCAGTCCATGATGAGGGAAGAACGGATGTTTTTCTACCAAGGCCAACATGGCGCAAAACGTCCGCAGAGAATACCAACAACAAAGTGGGTGGAGTTTGAGCATGATGAATCATCAAAGGAATTAGCTGGTTACTTTTTCGCCCCTGGAATTAGTGGAAGCAGCCAGGAGAAATATCCTTGTCGTATTCATCCACGAACCCTGAAAATAACTTTTATCCTCAATGGTAAGATTTACCATTAGGTTTTGTTAGCCGTATTCATCAACGAAACTTTGAGGGGACTTATTCTGGAAAGTGAGTAACGCGTGTTCACGAACGCTACTTGGGATAAGTCTTACCCCAGAGAGAGATTAACCCGTATTTATGAATGTGGTTCATCAAGGTAAATGTAATCCTAACACAGAGCAAGGTTGACTTTACCCTGACATTTCGTGTAATTCTCTCGATGCACCTCGGCCCTAGCAGCTTTGAAAACAAGCACATATAATTACTATTATCTTAAATTTCTCATGCTACCCTTCCGTCTTTTCGTTTGATGTCATCATCCGATACTACATTTAGCCTAGTTTCAATAAGAAATTTAGTTTTGAATAAAGTGCATGCCCAACAAAGTGCTTTGATTTGGCGAACTCAAGCTCAATTCAAATAGTGTTTGCTGTTTAACGAAGCTCAGCTGTGGTAATGCTTGTGACAAGTTGGAAGACATTTTCGTGAAATGAAGTTTCCTCAATCAAATCTTATAATTAGTTCACAAATATAGTAAAGGATTTGGTACATGGTTGACTATCGTGGCTTAACTGAATACGCTTCTCTCCAATAAAGTACAAAAAAAAATCATCTTAATTCTTGTAATATGAGTAGACCAGTAAGAGGCCATATCCACTACAACTTTTTGCGATAATAATCATACACTTCATAATTTGATAGGAATGCAGGCTATTATTTGAAATAGAAGCAAGCTCTACAAGATGGTTTGCAAAAGCTCGCACTAGCTTGGACCAGCGTATTTTTCATAAAGAGTCTGAGTTGTGCTGAAGGCTCAAAAAAGAGAAAGAAAAATTCATATCTTCGTTCAAGAAAAATCCTACGGATACCCAAATTGCTCATGCAAATTGCACATCAGAGAACTCATATGTGTACACTCTTCTAATTTTTCTCACTTAGAAATTAAGAAAACAAAATTTTTCATACTTATACAAAATAACAACTACGATAGTTGGCAGCATGTTTGGGAATGGAAACAAGTTATCCTAATATTTGAGTGCCAAGACCCATCAACACCTTGATGAAACTCTTGCTAACTACCCATCCCAGAGTGCAACTTCACTTTAGTCATACGTTGATTTAAATTTCGTATTCTTCGTTTTGGAATGAAAACACGTCTTGTCAGATCCGTATGCTTCATGATTCTCAACATATTCGTGCACATACTTGAAAGTGCACGCTTATTTATTTTTACCTGAAATATCTCATAATGACATTTTTTTGACGTCACCCCATGTGGCTCTTGCATTTGCATAAAAGCAGATTTTACTTCACTTCCTACTACCGTCTTCTCCACTTCGAGCTCTACAGCTCAATCAAAATCTGTTATCATACACTTTGAGAATGGGTACACAAGAGTATTCCTCTGAAAATTTCTTTCACTATATACATATGTTGCGTCTTAAGTTCAAATAATTGTCGCCAAAGTGAATTCGATGTTACAGACGGGTTACAGTAAGCCGAGGCGGATCAACCAATGGACTTAGGTCTTTTGGCATATAAGGCGGCCCATGGACAACCGAAGGGTTTCTGCCTTATATGCAAGTTCTCTGATCACAAGTGACTTCAGCTTTTGTATATTCATACACTATTGACTGCCAATATCCAAGACATTTGGCAGCATGGCAGCTAGAGATTTAGCGGCCCACGCAACGCTTCCTCTACATAGACCTCTTTATTCTCTTTGGGTTCAAAGAAACACAAACTGAGCAGATGACATGGGGCAAAGTCATAGAACGTTGTGCAAGGATGGGTGGAGTGGTTATAAAGATTTGCGAGTTTCAGTGGCAGGCTTGAAAAGACAATCATGAGAGCTGTGAACTTTGATTCTTTTACAAGTACAAATTTTAAGTTCTACTTACTTCGTCTTATGATATAAAGCTACCGCGTAGATTCCTGTCCGATTGATGTACATCACGTACACGAGGATGCAACAATAACGTAATCATGTACACGAGGATGCAACCTCAGAGATCAAAGTCCCATTGCGAATCATGTAATCATATAACTTTCGTCATTATAGTCTTCGACGGCTCTGTCAAACGTGGAACGTGGTCCATCTCGCATTCATCTGGTAAAACCACGCTGGCCACGCGACAATCGACAGAGTTGAGCAAGGGCGCGACATCGACCTTAAAGAACCGGATTGAATTTTACAGTTTTTTTACTAACTGAACAAAATATGTTAGTTTATCAACAGCAAAATCAGCCTATATTTTTTCACTTTTTTACTCTCACTTATTTCTGTTCTATCGTTATTTTATCATACTATTTGAGTGATTTTTGATATCATTGTATTCGTTTTAGTTGTTTAAACTATAGCTTGCTTCAAGGCCTAAACAGGGCCCGGCACAGATCGCCTGGAAGCAGGCTGGACTTCGTTTTTGGAGCAAAAAGCAAAGGAGATATCGTTTTTGACGAATCGGGGGCCAAGCACCAAGATTAAGCGCCATTTAGTCCAACACAAGCTTTATCGGCAGGTTATCACACGATTGACATGCTCTACCGTGTATGGCGAAAAGTGCGCGCGATTTGAAAGCAAGGCTAAAGTAAACAAATTGCTTGTTAAGAGCGTAAACATAAGCTTTTGACACCAAATTTGTACCATATAAGTGAAATATTATTTAAGGAAGACCTATGTAAAAAGTTTTGAAAACTTATGTGAAGTAATACCTTTTCCAAAATTAGATCGTCTCCAGACGGCCACCAGACGATCTGAGATCGTCTGGAGCATATATTTCTGTCACTTCACATAAGTTTCGGATTTTTCTAGCATGGACGGATTCCCCGATCAAAAATCTATCTCTGAGCATAAAGACATTTTCATGTCATTGCCTCTCCTTCGTTTTTTGCCTTGATTTTTTCATGAATCGCTTTGTTAGATATCGCGCTCCAATAGCAAACTCTTATGCATGCGTAGTAATCAGCTCCAACTTGGATTTTCTTTCTTATCTCACGTTTTTTCCTTCGTACTAGTAAATCTTTCTTGTTTCCATCTTCTTCTAAGCAGGTAGGTCAAAGGGGACTTCGTAAAACTACCGAAAGTCGGGGAAGACTTCGTTTTTAAAAATCCTAGAAACCGACTCGTGCCGGGCCCTGGGCCTAAACAGTTCTGTGAAGAACTATCTACAAATATCATCTAGGGCCCAGGAGGTGCATTTTGAAGGCTTCGAAAACAATTCCTGCTGACATTGCAGAAGTTAACGGTGTACCTTTTATGGGGCTTGTGGAAGTCGGTCAATAATCTGCAGCGAACAATGAGTGGGATGGATTTGAAGGAGAGACAAGGAACATCAGAAATAGAACAACCAGAAGGAAAAACATGCGATTTCTCACAACATAGCATAGCAGGCAGAGGCATGGCAAAGCAGAAGGGAAGAAGCTTGAGTGAGGTGAGTACTCCTAGGTAGAGCTCAGACTAAAGAGCAGATTAATGTAAAACTTTTAAAAATTATGTGCGGACGTGGGAAAACTATGACTTCATTTTGTCCCGCGCAACATCAGCGTACTTCCATTGCGCGGGAGCAACCTAAATTAGAAAACAACTTTTATTCACATAATTTCTTTTCATAATCTCCGGTGCTTTTCTTTTGTTCATCAACTACACACCATTGATAACTCAATAGTGCTTACGCGCATTGGTGTAAGCAAAATTCGTTCACATTCGTGTTCAGCATGTCGCAGTTATATGCGCACAAGCTTACACCGTTGCAACATATCAATTCACCAGTGTGTCGGCATGACGTTAGAGCTCAAAATTCGGGCTTAGTCATGTTTGCTGGTATTTTGCAAGATTTCTGCAAATCATCCCCGGGATGCGTCTGCTTATTTTTAGCTTTCCCTTCAAAAGACAAGATCCAGTTGTAAAGCCGCCACGCCCTGTACATAAACTCTGATTCACTGCGAGTGACGGGCGAAAGGCGAGTGCTCCATCAGCCACGCAGATCTCTCTCTCGCGAGTGCTCTTTGATCATTCGCTAACCTTGACTGAGCACAGGGCCTCGCACAAGGTGAGCAAATGCCAAGCTGGAAGTCTTTTTGAATAGAAAGCAAAGGGGATTTCGTAAGTATATGTTGACATATACATATACAGCCTGCTCCAATCGGGATTACGCCAACCGTCGTCGTAGATTTGCGCGCTCGCAGCGCTGACGGTCTGCGCTGCATATGCGCGCTGTCGGACCCTAGCGAAACGGACTCTCGCCATGCCAGTTTTGGCCTGGTTAGGATTGGGGCAGACAATATCTATGCCACACGACACATGCAAGAATACGGCCAACTCTCACGTCACCTTCAAAGACCCTAATTTTTCTTCATTGGGCTGTAATCAAAGTCTTGGTTACAGCGCGCACATAACATACGACTAGAAATGTGGGGTATAAACGGACATGGACTAGGAGAACAGTGCGTGTATTGTGGAGAAATTATGCGACTGAAGGTTGTGGCAAGCTTTCTTCTAAAATTTCTCACAACCACAAGCTGATGAAATGGCTCGTTTGCAAAGCACAGATGACGATATGGCAAGAAATTTGATGTTGTATGAGCAGTTGGACTAAGGAGCAAAGTATAAAAAATTATGAAAAACGTATGTGAATAAAGAGCGTGCTTAACCTTTTCCCAAATTGTGGGCAATTTCCCACTCAATGTACATCTGAAGTAGGCAAAACTTAGATTCCACATAAGTTTATCAAGATTTCTACATAAATCTGTTCCACACCTAGAGTTAAGTACATAGTAACATTTTGATTCCAAAACGTCTTTCCTCCTTATTAGGATTCTAGCAATGACGCTGGTCTTTTCAAGGATGAACGCGCGCATCGAACAACCTGTCAGCTGGCGGAATCAAGTGAGAAATCGTAAAAGTCAATGCAAAGGCGAAGTCGTTTCACGACCATTTGCCGCCTATACCCATACGAAGTAGCTCTAACTCGTTTCCAATCTTATCAAGTGACGTTTAATATCTCACACTAAGGTATTAGGGTGTCTCATAATTTTTTACCGCTACTCAACCGTCTTCTATTTGTATCTTTCCTTCAACTTATGCGGCTTGAGTAATTATTTGACAGTTTAAAGCAAGCTCAACAAGATGGCTATCAAGAGTCTGCTCAATTCGTACTCTATGTGAAGTTTCGAGGTGCAATATACTGGCAATCAAAACGAACTTCACCGTCAAAAATCGTATCTTCGCCACCAAAAAAGATATTCAGATATTTCCCATTAATTCTAGCACATGTCGACACATTGTAAACTTTCCGTATTTTATTTTTATTTTTCCAGAGCCCCTCCCACGCGCGTGCTCAAATAGCTCATACATGCGGAAGTACAATCATGCATTTGTACCCTTTGTAGGTGCCCTAGTTCTCGAGAAATGCTGATGTTCAAAATAAAAACTCAAAAAATTATGAGACACCCTAATAATTTAGTGTTGTAAGCACGTTAACTAGGTCCCATAATACTTACAGCACACAGCTGCGCTTAGTGACTTACGATTATTTTAATGAAAAGATTATTTAGGAAATTTTTTACTGAAGTGAAGTGGGGGTTCAAACGGATAAAAGCTGCAGTGATGAAGAGAGAGCACATCAAGAAAAATGTTTGAATCTGTAGCTCGCGAAGGAGTGGAATGGATTGGGTACAACAGTAAATTTTTCGAATTTTGAGGAGGGGGGAAGTAAGCTAGCCACTTTTCACTTGAAAAAATTTTTTTGAGCTACTCCCAAAATTTCTAGAGAGATACTCCGAAATTTTGAAAAGAAAGAAGGCGTGGAGATAAGGTTTCCGTTTCATACGGAACCAAACCAAATTTTTTTAAACAAAAAATGAAGGGAACTCTCAATTACGAGTAAACATTTGCACATTTTGCACAATCTTTACCTTTATTGATCATCTTCTTGTGAGCTTTTTGAACAGAAAATTTTTTTTGACTTTTTGTTGATCACCAGAGCCGCCAGACAGATTGTTTTCGATCTTTGAATTTCCTTGATATAAATAAATATCGGGGATTTGAGGACTCAAAAAGCTTCGCAACCTTTCTACAGAAGCAAAGATTCGAGGCTGCAACTTTAAATTCTACTTGTGGGAGATCATGCCTTAGAAAGAATGCTTTTGCCTGTATTTGTACATTCACTCACTAGTCCGATGTACAGTGTATGTAGTGTACTTCGTTCCAAAATATTCCTGAGATGGACGGTCATCAGCTGATACGGCGTCACTTTCCTTATTCTTCCATTATGACACGATCCAAATGGGTTGGAACTGGAAATAGTCTCTTTGATATGTCTAGAAATATGAGTCTCTTTGATATGCCTAGAAATATGTCACACAAGAGAAGTTTACTTGGTCGAAGTGGCGTTTCCACGAAGTGTAGACCATCTTATAGAGCATAAAACGTCGATTCCAAATGTGCTTTTGGTATCTGCACCGCCTTCAGAAGGGAAGCTATGGAATTTTTTCGAAGCAAAAATTTGGGCTTGCAGCTACAATGAAATCATCTAGAACTGTAGCTTGAGAGCTCAAATGGGGCCGTAATTACTACCAGGACGCTTTGTGAGGTTAATACCCTCGGTCTGATAAGCGTATGCTAGTCATTACTCCTTTCAAGCGCCGGAAAGACATCTACACCTATTTCTACACCTAAGCCCAACCCTTGAATTTTTCCCTCGAAAAATTCCCATGTCTTCCTTTCAGAATTACTTTGCAGATACCGAAAGTAGATTTGAAATCAGCGTGCCATGCTCGTTGAGGACGTATACATTTCATAGGCGAACTTCACTTAAATAAAGTGGGGTTTGCCTATGCCTTCAGTAGTAATAAGAAAACGCGATCTATAGTAGAGCATTATAAAACTGGATGGGTGAGTTGAAAAACTTTTAATTGAAAAATTCTCAATATCATTTTTCATTTAACATCATGTAATGCTCCAACTTTCGCCTTCTTATCCACGCAATGAAGTTGGGTTCATACTCGAGCAAAAATCTGTGCAATCTTGACTCCTCTTAGCTGAAAAATAAAGAATTCGGCGCTTCAATACCATCTGCGGTCAAGCACGGAACCATTCAACTTCATAGTTGAAGAGGCTAGCGAATGCATGCAGGCGTTTTCTAGTAACATGCGGGGGGCAGTCGAATACCAAGTCAGTGCTTTTCTCCTACCAGCTACTCTGGTAACAATTCATCAGTCCCCGGAGGGTAGAGGGCTTGCTTGTCCCAAGGGCGGTCGAACCTGGGTCTGATCTGGTCACAGCGGCACCTTATACTACTACGCCACTCGTCCCATCTCTCAGCTAGGAGACGATTATACAATAATCCATGTTTTTTTTACAGAAGTTGCGAAGAAGGAAAATTTCAATATAAACTTGCATTGCCCTTTTCAAAGTCTAAGTACGGTATCAAGTTTCCTGTAGAAATGGGAAATCCCTCCGCGCTCGAAAAAGTCCTCTGAAATCAGTGAACGGGTAGGGGAACGAACACCTCAATTATGCACCGCCTCCGCGGGGTGCTGGTCCTTTCGTCCTACTGTTGTGCATCGTGTTGAGACCAGTAGTCCGAGGGGGAGGTGCCTAAATGAGGTGTTCGTTCCTCCGCCCCTAGTAACCAGTAATTAAAGGTGCTAGACTGCATCGCTTCGGGACGCGCCGCGGTTTCCCGCCATCTGATGTTTTTGGAATTGGCTCTAGGAATCTTTATACATTAGATCCCCTTCCTTTCACATTGGCATCTGTTGAGCCCAAGGCCAAGGACAGCAGAGTTGCCCTCGTACCGCTATGCTAGCTTGTGCTTCAACCACGTGGCTTACTGTATCAAAAATTTGCGACTCCGGCACAGCGCTGGAACGACGCTGGCACAAACAGCCATGGACGCAGCCAAAAAGGCATATTGTGAATTGTCTTTCATTTCGTTTTAGAGATATACTCATCACGTTCACACGTTTGCGCTTTATTATAAGTTGGTTTAAGCAAAAATAAAGGCTCCAACTAACTTCAATGGGTGCATCTGCCAAAGTTGTATCAAGTAATACAAACGACACTTTTGATGTGTTTTCGAAATGGGCACACTTACAGTTCCAACCAGGGCCCGGCATGAAACGGTTTTTAGGATTTTAAAAACGACGTCCCTCTGACTTTCGAAAATTTTACGAAGTCCCTGACCATTATTGCAAACCTAGCAACTTAGGAGAAGATGGAAACATAAAAGAGTCACTAGTCTGAAAGAAAGAACGTGATATATGAGTGAAAATTGAAAGTAGAGCTGAAAACTACACATGCACAAAAGCTTAACATTGGGGTGCGATATCTAACGCGAGTTATGAAGAAATTGAAGCAAAAAAAGGAAAGGCAAGGATATGATTTCTATGCTCAGGAATGAAACCAAGACCGGAGAAACCGTCCATGACAGAAAAATCCAAAACTTATGTGAAATCACAAAAATATATGCTACAGACGATCTCATACCGTTTGGTGGCCGTCTGGAAACGAAGTAGATTTGCAAAAGGTACTACTTAAATAAGTTTTCAAAACTTTTTATATAATTCTTCTGTAAATAATATTACCTATATGCCTACCCAAATTTGGTGTCATATACTTGTCTCTACGCTATGAACAAGCAATTTGTCAATTTTGGCTTTGCTTTCAAATCGCGCGCGCTTTTCGCAAGACACGATAGAGCACGTCCACGTATTAATCTGTCTTGAAAGGTTGTGCTTGATTGAGTGGTCGCTTCTGGCGTCACAGGAAGTGTGTTAAACTGTCTTGCACGGTGCAGTGTGCAGTTTTATGTGCAGTTTTGCTCTACATGCTTCGCTAGTAATACATGTACACACTTTTTTCCTGGAGCTCCTCCCGAACCGTGCAAAAACAATATCCCCTTTGCTTTTTGTCCCAAAAACGAAGTCCAGCCTGCTTCCAAATGATCTGTGCCGGGCCCTGGTTCCAACACACCGGTGACGTTCACGCAAACAAGTTTGTTATTTTCATACCTGTTTGATATAGTACATCATAGCTATCAACAGTATACTGCTCCACCAAAGATCTTCATTCTGTCGAGATGGACATTGCTGAAGTGCTGTCAATGGAAAACTTGTCCTAAGCAACCAAGAAATCAAATGGCATACTACTAACTTACTCGCAATTGAACTGCACATCCGTCATTCTGTTCGTTTGCAAAAAAAAGCGCAACGCTTTCCATCTTGCGAAACAAAAAAAGTGAAGTAAGCCACCAAAGACTGAGATGATTGTACCGTGTTCTGCTTTTCGTTGTCGAGTTTTTTTAATTGGTCAAGACACGACTCTGTTCCCTTCTTTAATTTTCCTCTGATTTTTTATTAATTTTGTAGATTCGATTTCACTTCCTAGGTATGTTTTCTAGACAAGCGGAATCACTTGAGGATGTGCCCAGAGTTTGTCGTGTTACGCGTTGCCAGCACTGTTCCAGCGTCGTTCCAGCGCCGTAGTAACACTGTGCTGGAAATTCAGCCAATCGATACCGCTCCAACACGACGCTGACACAGCACCCGAACACGGGTATCTTTGGAAGCTATCTAATATATAAAGAATCGTAACTCCAGTTCAAAAAACATCAGATAGCGGGGAACCGTGATGCGGTCCCGGAGCGCGCCGATGCAGTCTAGCACCTTTAATTACTGGTTCACTAGTCTCGAAGACAAAGAACGATGGACTTCCTGTACAAGTTACTGGCATGGCATCTGTCTAATATAAAATTACAGTGATTTGTTTTCGTTAAATAACCAAGGCAATTCATTTGCAGAAACCCTGTCTCAATGATAGCCGGCTTAAAAAAAGCACTTACTTGGGAATTGAAATTGAAATCTATAAATTAGATTTAATTTAATAAATTAATTTAATTTTTCAGACTGATTTTATAAGTTATTGAATTTTAAATGAAAAACTCAAGTAGAATAAAAAAATTACAGACAGCTTTTCGCAGCTGCAAGTTTATAATTACAGGGCACATCTTACTTGGAAATCATAGGATGGCAAGCCTGAGAAACTTCCTAGAAACTCACCACAAGATTCTCGAAAGCACCATCACTTCGTGCAAGAAAAAAATTTTTTGGTTGCTTCCTTCCATCCCCTTGGAAAAAGTTTAGGGACAGCTAGACATAATTTGTTCCCTAGACCCACAGGGATGTTAATGGTGTATCGTTTTGCGAGGCTCATCTAACCTTCGATTCAACTGGCTTAGCGGCTGGAAGGCGGGGCTTTGTGACCTAATTAAGGTCGCTCGCGCCCGCGACACAGTCTGCGTCTCTCTCGCGCGAGTGCTTTCTGATCACCAGCTAGCCTTAATTATGTCACGGAGCCCCGCCTTCCCAAAGCCGAGCCAGTTGAATCAAATGGAAGAGCAGCAGTGCGTCATGCAGAGAAAACCGAAGAGAGTAAATTTTGAATCACATTTTCTTTTACAAGGATGGAGGAATTGGAGGAGAAGTTTTTACACACGGCTGCCTTAGATGCTGCACTAGATGTGAGACAAAATGTAGTTCAGAATCTAAGATTTGTGATTTCTAGTTCAGGTCTAGGCATCGATTTCTGCGACTATCAAACAATGAACTCACTAGTCTGTCTTTACTGTCTTTACATCCGTTGTACCGCAATACGAACTGCTAAACTCCTTTCGTAATCGTGAGCCATCTTCAAATGCTATGTCGATAAAATAGTACTAAAAATAAAACGTAAAATCCTTCTATCCAATATGTGCAAACATACATTCACAGATGGTACTCCTCTCACGATTACTCCAGCGAATTTTTCTCGTCGAGATCGAACAATTTGAAGACATCGACGACTAACCATTGATAAAGTACGACGTTCGGAAAAACTGAGGTAGTCACATACGGTGTTGATTATTTCATTAGGTAATTCCTCCCATTTGATCATCTGCAAAAGAGTCAAGCTTACATCACTGACGCATATTTAGAACGCAAAAAAGTGTAACTTCTGGCACAAAGAAAATAGATTAGAAACAGGATAGTGGCATGGATAAGTGTTTTTAAGGGTGTGAACATCCACTGCTTAAGCGGATGTGAGGTTCTGAGCTGTAAGAATCTGAGATTAAGCGAGCCGCACATCTTCATAAATAATAAAGCAGATTTTCCAAGAAGGAAAGAAAGAGTGAATCTCTTTAGTCAAATAGAACAAGATTTGTATGAAGAAAGATGCGTCAAGCGAGAGCAAAAATTGTGAAAAAATTCGTTTTACTGAAAATTGCAACGTAATAATAAAATGCATTTACGCTATACACTGTCTTCGAATCAAATGAACAAAGTCTTGAATTGATTATAATGCTTCGCAATCAAATCCATATAAAGAATGTAGTGAGGCTGCGTTTACAGTTCCGTGTCAGCGCCGCCTCAACGTCGTTCAATCGCGGTGCCAGCGCCGTTTCGGAACTTTGATCGATCGATCGATATGGTAGAGTCTGTGTGAGTTAGCGAGCACAGCGCCGGTGCAGGTACAACTCTAGACGCTACCTGATAGTGACACGGCGATGAATATGAGGCATAGAAAATAAACAATATGAAACTTGAGGTCAACACCATATTCCCAACAAATAGACTAAACTTCCCGATAAGGTATAGCGATTATATTGCCCAGAACGGCTGGCCTCAGCAATGTAACAGTGCGTCATCTGATGGACGTTCGATAGTTCATAATGTACAACCATTTTTTGTTCATTTTGATGGAGTCAATGTCACGTAGGAGAAACCTATTCAACGCTATTGAGTAATGTATGTTTTATAGACCACAAGTGAATTGATAGGGCTATTCACGATATGATAACTGGCTTCTCGAGTGCATGAAAGGGCTAAGTTTTCCTGAATATGAATATGAAGAATTCTAGGTGTATACAAATGAAAAGGGGATTTGTTCAGGCTGTTTAAGCCATGCAATTTCAAATGCATCCTAATCCGGATTCGAAAAAATCGAATACAAAAATCTGAAAAAATGCAAAAGTTTCCGCAGAAATATACACTAATCAAAAAAGTTATAGAAGTTAAGCCGATTCAAAAAGTTGCGAGCTCCTTTAAGCTCGTTTGCTGTCGCAACGAACAAATACGGGAGCCACATGGTATTCTAGTACAGCGCTAGCACGGGGCTGGCACGGAGCTGGCACGATATCGGCACGAAATATCAGCAGTACTCGTTTTATGGGTCTGCTTTCTTACAATAAACAGTTTATTTGCCATCTAAATTACAATGCTTCCGTAAAAAATTCTATACAAAGATCCGAGGGGGGGGGGGTGTTCTGAGCGTACCATGCGCAACATTCCTATCATCTATTCTATGACTAGAGACTGACGACGGAGACCGCGTTGCGGACATTGTCTTGACAAGTATGAGTTTGTTTTCCCTGTTAAAGAGTGATAAATCTGGACGAGATAAATAACAAGTATAAACCTGCTAAGTACACAATTAGGCTTGTTTAGACAATATGTGCAATGCGATCTCGCGTCTCTTAGTCATAGAATGAATCATACATATTTTTTACGAAAACAAATTGGTTTCGCCAATGGACATGGCGTTAGCGTGCATCACAGCTATGCCTCAGTGAGTTGAGTGAACAATGAACTTTGTGTGGCAAATTCACCAAAGCATGACTTTAGTTCTTGAAAAATTAAGTCTCACTTGCCCTAGTATGAAAAAGCATCTACTTTACTTGATAAGCGTCCGTTGTATACTTCAAAGATCAAAATTTGTGTCTACATAAAGATTAATTTATGATTAGGTACAAATCACAATTGGTATGGGCAAAAAGAGCGTGAAACTTCACGTGAGTGTGTGAGAGAGTTCACCAAGATCTAAGAAAAAATTAGTCACTGGAAAAAACGATGTGGACATTGCTGTTCCAGAAAATAGGAACTTCTTACAGATAAATTTTGATAGGGTAGATGTATAGAGTTTTTGCGTTGAATCATACAATTCAAGATGCAATAAATGCAGAGACAAGCATTTGTGATCATTTAAAAGTTGTCGAACTTTTTTTCTATAAAAAGCAAACCGATTTAGAACTTATACAGGGTATCCTAAAAAAATGTATCGAACGTTTGATTTTTAATAAACTCCTTATATGGAAAGCTTTGAATGCCATACGGTAGGGCTAGCTTGAACTCAAATTTACAGTATAGAGCGGATTACCGACTACTCATAGTTACTGTAGGATTACGGTAGAAATTTTTGACTAATTTTACGCCTCTGAGAGGCGAGAATTGTTTTCAAAAAATTCCAAAAAAAAACAAAGGACTTCATACTAAGGTTTTCGAGGGTGCTGAATCTAATTACAAAACTTTCCGCTACCCTACTCCATGGCTTCTTAGGGTATGCGCACTGTAACGCTAGTCTTTTGGTTTTTTCCAGAATTTAACGTTGCCTTTGTCAAGCAAAGTCCAGTTGAGCCTCTAAGACTTCTTCAGTCTTTAATAATTGCAAATAATGAGTCAAAAGATTCACATTCAGGGTTCAAATACAATTAATGATTTGACTTGATTTCATTGATTTGATTGATTAATTTAAACGTGTTTGTGACTGCAACGTTGATCTAGAAAATTTTGGAAAAAAACCAAAAAAATTCAGCGCTACAGTGCGCATACCGTGAGATAGTACATTAGTAGTACATTTTAGGTTTAATGAAACAAAATCAATAAGTCAATTCAAAAAAATCAAAATTCGTAACCCTACCAAATTCTCTTATCTAAGGAGAGTATGTCATAAAATAAAGACCAAAAACACATAATTGAATTGGAATATGGTTATTAAGAATAGTTAAAGTTAAAAGTTTAGTAGACGTTTTAGCAATTTCATTGATCAAACAAATCACTTTTTGGGTATTTCTCATAATCAGCTTATATCGCTGCCATGTGCCGTCAAAGAATTTTGACTTGAGCATCTCCAGAAAGCACAGGGTTTTTACTCTGTTTTATGTATCAAATTTGAATTTCACAAAGATGGAGGAAGTAGCAATTATTGAGATTTTCTGGAAATCGTTTTTATTTTTTTGATAGAGGATACCAAGGACTTTAGCTCACAAACAGAAAGATAAATGGCTCAGGCTTGAAGCGAAAGCTAATCGATCGGCTAGTCTTAGCTTAGTTAAGAAGCTTTCACCAGGACGTCTAAGTATGTGAGAAATGTCTGAGACTATTTGCATAGCAGCAAAAATTCTTAGGCATGGAAAAAAAATTATTTATTTGTACACATTAGGGCCTGTCCTTCCATAAAGCATAGATTTTTTAGGTCAAAGATTACCTGAATCGCTGCTGAGCATTTGCAAAAAATTAGGTTGGCGCGAAAGTTAGTTAGCATCATAGTTCAAATTTTACATCTTTTTTCTTTCTGGAGAAATTCGCATGATTTTGAATTTGGGTTTTTGGGTAATTGGTTTGGTTTTGGGTTAGTTAGTTGGTTTTAGATTTGGGTTTTGGTGTTTTTGAGTTTTATTAGGTTGTCCGGAAAATAATGCCCGTTTTGAATTTCAACCGCAATAAGTCATAGACTTCTCATTTCTGAATAGGTTGCAAAGTACCGTTCGATAGAGCAAAGCAAGCTCTACAAGATGGCAATCTTGCTTTTGCAACAGCTCTGATCCACCACGAGTTTCGAGCCAAAAACTAAAAAGATTCAACTACCCGAAAAATTGAAAAAAAATCGTAACTCAGCTCATAGAAATCCTACAAAAATTCTCACTTGTTCACGTAAACACCATCCACATAAAACATCTATATACGCCTTTGCCGCATTTTTTTCTCTGTTAGAAACCAAGAAAACGGAAATTTTCGTGCATCTGCCAAAGTGATGCTGAGCCATCCCCGCGTAGGTAGTTGTACACCACAAGCCCGTAGAGGTACAGACTTAAATTTTCAGCTCTCTACAAGCTTTAGTTCTCGAGAAATACCGAATATAGCTTTCCCTAGCTAGGTGGTCCAAGCTAAAATTCAAATTTCTCGAGAACTGAAGCTTGTAGAGAGCTGAGAATTTACGTTTGTACTTCTACAGGTTTATAGTATACAACTACCTATGTGGGAACTGCACAGCATCACTTTGGCAAATGCATGAAAATTTCCGTTTTCTTGATTTCTAACAAAGAAATAAATGCGGCAAAGGCGTATATAGATGTTTTATGTGGATAGTGTTTACGTGAGCAAATAAGAATTTTTGTAGGATTTCTATGGGCTGAGTTACGATTTTTTTTTCAATTTTTCGGGTAGTTGAATCTTTTTTGTTTTTGGCTCGAAACTCGTGGTGGATTAGAGCTGTTGCTAAATCAAGACCGCTCTTGTAGAGCTTGCTTTGCTCTATCGAACGGTACTTTGCAACCTATTCAGAAGTGAAAAGTGTATGACTTATTGCGGTTGAAATTCAAAACGGGCATTATTTTCCGGACAACCTAATAGTTTTTTTTTTAGTTTTGGTTTCAACTGGTTATGAGTAATTTGGTTTTTTTTCATGGGTTTCATAATAGCCCTTAAGCCATGAAAGCAAGCTGAGTGTTCTGGAATTTATGGATTGAAATGGTGCGAGTCAATTAACGGGCTTGCCTAATACATACATATTAAATTTATTTGATTTTGATGTATTGACCAAAAAATTAAATGATTCTGGATAACCAGGTAAAATCAGCTAACTTCAAAATGCCATACCTTTTTCACATATAGCGAATGGGTGGAAACCACTGCTTATAAAAAAGAAGTGGACAAAAACCATCTTTGATCAAATACGTTTTATCCCTATGAAACAGGATTTTTTTTTGTAAAACTTATACAGCAAGTAAAACTCAACTGATCTCACAATCAGATTTTTGAATAAGTTGTACAATAATTTTTGACACTTGGTATTTTTCTGGAAAATCTCATAAAATTTCTGAATATTTCAAATCTTCTATA